CATGTCTGCTACAAATGCAAATTTTAGGATGCACAGAGTCGGGACAATAGGAATCCAACTGGCTGTTCACAAGAGGAAGGATTAGGTCCTGTGTCATGTTAATAGTGACATCAACAACCTGAATAAAAGCCAAAAATTCAAGTTGATTTTGCAGTTTAAGACCATTGTTCTCCCACATGGTTTAGCCTGTAAGATTTAGTCTACACATAGATTTCTGCCAGAATTTATGGTTTTCACATCATACAGTGCAGTTCTTGATATGTAGTGTACTTCAATATATAAAAGCCCTTAATGACTGGCAAATATTTACACTGATATAGCTAAAATGTCATACAAGCTACAGGCAACAAAGCTACTGGAAATATAAAAGCAAAATTATGTCTGTCAGTTCTCAGAGGTACTGTTAATATCTGTGCAAAATTATGGCTGCCAATATTGTTCCGTTCTTATTTTGCAGCCCATTGTAAAAACAAATTAGGTGAAACCTGCTAATAATATGCACCAACTTCCATCTCAGATATCAAAGGAGAAGTAACCCTGGATTTGACTCTGGATAAGCAAAGCTGAGGCAGGAATATGGGATATTCCAGAGGGCTTGTTCCTGGCCTGACCCTTCCGGATGCTGGTGAGACTCTCGGGCCTCTCTTCGTTCCACACTCCGAGCTGGCTCCTGTAATACTGTACCCTTGGTGTGTGGTAACAGGAGCTCTCCCAAGTGCCCATGGCAGAGAAACTTAATTCTTGACACAAGCCCATGAAACTAACCTTTCTTTCTCTCTTTCTCTCTTTTTTTTAAACCTGGAAAATTATGGTATTAGAGCCAGAGTCACGTACAAAACACACCATGTGAAATGACCGGGGAACTGTAAATTGGGCGTTTTGACTTGAACAAAATCTAAGCATTGTCATACTGATCTGATTATTCTTTTAAAATACTGTCCCAGGCTATAACTGTCTTTGTGTACAATAGCAATACAGGGTGTAGTTACAGACACAATTTCCTGTGCTTAGATTTTGAAATTATTATTTAAGTTCACTGTAACATTTGCCCGGAGCACCAGCGCAATTCCTCTATTAGATAATTTTCTATCCTTGTGAGGGCAGTTTTGCTTGTGCAATGCTGCCAGGGTTTTCAGGAAGAGATAGACAAGCAATTGTGACAATAAAATTTGCATCAGCTCCCACCCAGCCTCTCCCAGAATTGAAACACCATTTGTGGCATTCAAAGCCTTTTCACACCCGAAGGGAAGGTGTTCTGAACTGGAAAATCACTTTGATCTTCACAGGGTTGCATCCTTCTGCTCCTCAGATTCCCATAAGAAACACCAAACAGCAGTCATGGAGTTCCAGATGGTTTTGCATCAAAGACTTGGTGCACTGCAGCACCCAGCACCCACTGCAGCACCATGAAACCCCAAATGAATCCAGATCAAGTAATGGGGTTCAAAATTTGAAGCAGAAAATTTGGTTGGGCTTTAAGGGCTGAAAAGGATGTGTTGTTCCTGGGTGTGTAGAGAGAGAGAATAATAATGAAAATATCTGAAATAAATAGATTTGCAAGAAGGAAAAAGCATAGACTGTGAGACATGGGTAGGATGTCATCACTGGTTAGTCAGAAAGGGTGCTACTACTGCTTCAGACTGGCCCAAAATCAATGCAAATGAATCACAGGATAAAAGTCAGTTCCTAAGACCATGGGAACACTTAACACTTTAAAATGTCTTCAACAGCATAAAAATCTCAGCCTGAACTGCTCACAACCTTTGCTTTGCTCTTGCAGGACATCAGGATCAGGTGCTGGAATTCTCCCCCATAAAATTACTGGCTCGCTCCTCTGAATAAAGGACAAACAAGCCTGACTTTGTGCACAGCCTTTCATTTGCTTCTTGGTATGAATCTGCTTGTGCATGGACCTCGTCTCTAAAGGACACAGGTGATGCTGCTGAGCTCAGCAGCCCCTCTCACCCAGAGGCCTCCCAGCCTGCCCAGTGAGGTGGTAGTGCAGGAGAGCACGGTGTGCCTGAAGCTTTGCTGTGCCAGGGATCACATCCAGGGTCACTGCAATGTGTGTGTGTCTGCACACAGGCTGGGTAATGCCCAGGAGCCCAGTTACCAAGGCAGAAGGTGGTCCAGAACTCTGCCGTGTCCTTGCCTATGCATTGCAAAAGTCAAAGAGAGCAGAGATAAGGAAAGGGAAATCATCTCTAGTAGTAGCAGAGCAATTCTTACTCACTCCTATTTACCCTTCCTGGGAAAAAAAAAAAAAAATCTGCTTCAAAATCCCCACTGTCTCTATTCCACTGAGTTTGGCTTTTCTTTTTTGACTTGGAGCTGAGCCTCACCTGGTACCTCTCCCTTCCTTTCACAGCAAGCTCAGCTGGATCACAGTGATGGCCAAAGGAGGAGCCCAGCCCTTCTGGAGAGGGCAGTGGGCAGCTCCTGCTCCGGGCTCAGCCTAGGAAGCACAGAGCCAAACTGCCATACACTTAGTGGAAATCACTGCATCTCTACAGCCCCTGCAGTCCTCTCCTCAGCAGCCCCCAAAATTCCAGTGAGGAAAAAAGGAATGGGAAGGGGAAAGAAGGAGCCAGAAAAACTATTGTGTTCCCAGGGAGGGAAAAAGATGAACAGCTCTATTTAGCTTATCCAGCTTTGCTGATGTCAATCACTTCTCTCATTTTAAACAGGAAAGACACCACTTTAGTCCACCTGTTCCATTATTTATCATGCTATGCATTTCCCATGAATTGTCACTCATGCAAAACCTGTACATCGTAAGGAGACACCCTAATATTTTTAATGACCTTAAGCAAAGTGATTGACACTAGACACCGGTGTCAGATGTTCTGGTGACGCAACATGTTCTCCTAGCAGCAGGAAAGCTTCCTGCCGTGATTAAGTGAGGGCTATGGAAGTGCTAAAATGTGTTGTCAGCTTTCCTCTGATGCAAGTGATTTTATTATAGCGTCTGGTAACCATGGAGTGTGGCAACGCAAATACTGACCCCAAACATCCCCTCCTGCACATATAGCTCGCTCTATTTAAAACACAAGGTGCAGTTTGCAAATCCAGGGATAAGTTATGGATGTAACAAGCTTAAACCATGGAGAGCAGAGGAAATGGGGGCACCTAAGCCAGAATTCCTGGGTGGTTTCAGCAGGAGAAGTATAGGGATCCAGGATGAGCTGCAGAAGGAACCCCCTGCAGGACCTCTTTGGCAGGTGGGCTCTGCAGCAGCATCACCAAAACTGTCCCAGCTGCCAAAGGCTCTGAGGGCAAAAAGAAGACACAGGCCTGTCTCATCTTGGTAGTGGAAAGCAAAAATCATACCCAGCCCCTCTGAGTCTGGAGAAAGTAAGGGGGGAAATAAAGGAGAGAAAAAATAGAAAGAGGCCTCCATGCAGCCCCTCTGCCTCCTCATACACACCGGGGTGGAAACCTGTGACTCAGCTCAGCACCACTTGTCCTTCCAGAAGGAGAAATCATGTTCTGGTTTGTTTCAATTTGGGACAAGCCCCTCAACAATCCATTAACTGAGAAAAGTTGGAAGACCTCTACAAACACGAGAGTTAGAGAATCAACACCCCAGCCACAAGCAGGGGACACCTGGCACCTGCTTTTCATGAAGATTTGTAATCCCAAAGCTCAGTCAGCAAACACTACACATAGCTTTGCTTCCACAAGTTATTATTAATAGTTATGTCTCAAACTGATGTGACAGTGAGTGTCTGCAAAACTGTCTGCTGCGATTTTTCAATAACAGAGTTGTTAATCAAGCTGCAGAGGGCTGGACTACCAAACCAAAGTCCACAAGCTGCAGAGGTTTTTGTAATAGATCAGCAGTACATGTGTTCACAGTTATTGTCACAGGGGTTGTTCTACATAAACAGAAATATAAAGCAGTGAGAGTTGAAGATACAAGTTATCTTGATAGCAATAAAGAAATATTTTCTAAAAGTCTAGCAGCACTGGATATTATTTTCATGAAATTTATTTTTTAATTTTATAGCAAAATAATCAAAAGTGCTAAACCTGACCACTTTAATTTACAAAAAAAGTCTCATGTTTTAAGCTATGATCATACCTCGTTATTTAGGTTAAACAACATAATTATACATTTCTACTGTTTTCTATTCAATAGTGAAACAAAATCAATATTAGTTGGTTTAAAAAAGGGGGAAAGTACCACAGGTATTGGGAGGGGGAAGTTACATAAAATATAAGAATCATAAGAATCAGCTTATTAAGAAATTTGCAATGTGCTCTTATTGCCTTTCTTTTTTCTTTTTTTTTTNTTTTTTTTTTTTTGAGCTACAGTTTAAGTCCCAGATACTCTGGCCATAAGCTTGTAGTCACTTCAGATGCTATGATTTCTCCCTTGGTCAAATGTCAGTGTTTTAAGGAGACCTCTGGCATTACAAGTCAATTCAAATTATTTTCTCAGTTCCCACTCAGTCCCTTTCCAACAGGATCAGCATGTTGGAGAACACAGTTAGGATGGTTGCAGCTATGTGAGCAGTTTTCTGTGAAGGAAAAATGGGTTTTCCTCTGTCTTGGAAAAAGCCACTACCAAGTCTGCAGTAAGAAATATATTGAGAGCACTTGTGGAGTTGCTACAAGTATTTCTTAATCCATTCCATTCTCATTTCAGTTTGCTTCCACGGTTAAATTAAAACCTGCAGTCTCTCCTACTGATAAATAGTCAAGTTGACTTACAAAGGTTCTGCCTTCTTTCTGTCCATCCTTCTCCTGGCTGCCTCTAACCGAACAAGGTTCGCTGGTTTGCCACGAGCGCTGTCTGGCTCTCCCGCCTCTTTGCTTTCTTCTTGTGCTGCCTGATCTTCCAGCACACGGCGCTGGAAGCCAGCAGAACGAGTCCTGAGGACAAGAGGACCAGCCCAAAGACGGAGATGATGGATCCATGGGAGTTGAAGATGTATGCCACGGCAGTGACCACGATGCCAGCTATCAGGATGACCACGCCAAAGGGAACGGTGCAGCGGTAGCAGGAGAGCTCTGCTCCCCCCGTGGCTGCCGTCAGCTGGCACTCACTGACCAGAGGGATGGTGGTTATCACACAGTCATTGTTGTTACTCTTCTCCGTGGGTGCAGAGTCAGGGTGCTTTGGGGTGCCCAGGATCTCTTTGATAGGTTCGTTTGTCATCTTGATTGTCTTGACTCGGCCCGTTCTTAGGCTAGAGCAGGCTCTGCTGAGCACGTGCTGCACTGTGGAGAGAAGAGCATGACTTCAACCAATAATTACCAATTATTTGTAAGACAAATGGGGACACAGAAGTATCCCCTTGGGATCACCAACAACCACACATTCAGACCTCACAAGGATTTATGCACAAGATCAACAGTGACGTGACTGATTGTAAAGGATCTGAATCACTTCCTACAGTATTCAACAATATATATATAAGTTCTGGAAATAACAGGAGTCACAGACCAAGACAAACACCAACATTAAAATGTTGCGGGTCAAATCCTACCTTAAGTTACATCCTAAAGTCAGTATTTCTGGACATAATTTAGATTTCAATGGCATTACCTTTTCTCACAAAGAGGTGAGGTTCACACACTGTTTTGATTTTTGCTCACACACTTTTCACACAGTTTCTTTATACACCTACACACAACACATTACACAGACTTGCTCCACTGCATATCACAATAACATGGTCAAGTACTAGCCCAGCAAAAACCAGGATGAACAGTGAGCTCTTTCTCAGTGCAAGTGCTCCTTAGGGAAAAAATTCAAATGGTCATGGCAAGATGTAGATGTGGGGGGAGTGGGGATGCAAACAGATTCCCACACTCGGCTCAGCTCAAGGCCTGTGAACCTCCAGTTACAGGAATGTCAGTGCTAGACTGACAGCTTGCTATTTACACTGGCTTCATGCAAAAGCAATGGGTCTCTTGTAAATCCATGAAATGACATCCCTGTTACTGTGGGAGGGAGATTTACCATCATATTCCCTGATCTCAGATACAGCAGGTTGTTTTCCTCCTGTTTCCAGACCATAAACACACTCAGTCCGGACAGCATGCACAGTTTGACTGCATCTGCACAGGACACAGATACCTTTTGGCCCTGGGCCCAGGGAATAATCAGAGTCCACCTGCTCAGAGCAAGAGGAGCCCACAGCTCTCCCCCGCTCCAGGCTGCCATGGCAGAGCTCAGCCTTGTTGATGTGGGTCACTCTGGGGCCTGCAGGGAGCTCTGCCCACGCTGAGGCTGCCACGGATGTGCTGTCCTGGACCCAGCTCCGTGCACCCCAACACACACTCCAGAGACTGGGCACTGGGAAGCACTGGGAACCCCTGGGAAGCACTGGAAACCACTGGGAACCCCTGGGAACCCCTGGGAAGCACTGGCTGTCTTGCTGGACAGGCCTCCCAGGACTCCTCCACCGCTCTGCTGTGGGCTGTGCCGCCTTTGCTTTCATGAGCAGCATGATACGCACAGAACAAGGAAGAGCGTTGGCAATGCAGTAATGCTTTTATCACTTTTATCACCTTCACATCTGTGACTAGGAAGTTAATTGCCAGATACTTGTATTCTCCTTTTCCTTTCCCACCACTCCACCCTTGTTGCTAAGATATATTCGTTCATTGTGGAGAGCCCTTGGTTTTATATCTCAGTACCTCCTACAACTGACTGTGGGTTTTACACGAGAAAGGATTTCACTCTTTTAAAAAAAATATAGGCACAAACAGGCTAAATGCTGGATATAGTCAGAGTTTTTGTATACAAAGTCCCCTTGAACCCTCAAGAGAGAAGGAAAGCCCAGATCTGCTTTGCCAAAGCTTTTGTTCTACTGCTCTGGGGAAGAGTGCTCTGCTCCCTGTTGTATCTGCTGTGCAGAGCTGCCAGTGGGCTCAGCCCTGCCAGAGGAGCCTGTCCCTGCTGAGCACACACAGCACACCCCAGCACACACAGTGACAGCCCAAGAGCCAACAGGCACACACTGAAACACTCTATTTGATCATCACGAAAAACTTCTTTACTGTGAGAGTAACTGAGCACTGGAACCTAGTGAAGTTTTGGAGTCTCTACCCTCGGAGATAATCAAAAGCCATCCTGGGCAGCATTGCCTGGGTGCTGAGCAAGAGAGGGATCAGACCATGTCACCTCCAGAAGTCCCTTCCAACCATGACCATTCAATGATTCTGCCTGTTTCTGTGAGAGCACTCAGTATTTCCAAGGGCAGGAAAGGGATTTGTTCAGTGCTTATCAGCCTAAACAAATATATCTGTGCTGACATCTTAGATATCCTAAATTCTCCTAGGTTTGGTAGCTTTGCTCTTTGAATCATAATGCATTATTAAATGCCTTTTAAACCAGACAGAAAGAGCCCAGGAAAGCCATGGGTTTGCTCTCGAGTGTCATTAATCTGTTCCCATGTGGATCTGAGCCCAAGTTCTGCATTTTCAATAATGATTGACCCAGCAGTGAGACGTACACTGGTGCCACTATGTTGCATTACTTATCCATAGAACATTACAGAAGTTCAGCATAACATAAGAGTGTAGTCCCCACATGTCACTTTTTTTTGATCTTATAATTCAATTAGTATAATATTTTATTATCAAATTTGAGGGAGAAAAAAATTTAAATATTTTGCATATAAATTTGCATATAAATATTTGCATATAAATTGCTCAAATTCACTGTAATAACTATTTAGAAGTCCAAGCACTCTAACAGTCACTGAAATAGGGAAGCTGCCAAATAACTTGAAAAAGTCTAAATAAACATTATTATTCTGAGAAATTTTAACCTTTAATCAAAATGTATTTACCCCTGTCTCTAAAGTCCTTCTGGTTCAGATACAGCTTCAATGAGCATTAAAATCTCCTAGATCTCTTGTACAGAGATTTATGAAAAAAGGAGATCTATTTATATGGTCAAATCTAACAGGAATTTTAAAAAATTCAAATCTATCGTAATTAAGTCAATGGCAAAATATCTGTTGATTTCTGAGGAACACAGTTCTTGTCTGGAATAGGATGTAAGAAGGTAGGTATTCATATAAAACAAATAAACAACCCTCTATTGAAATACTATTAAATGAAATAAACAACAGAACCTATTTGAAGTGTGAGCAAAGGTATCCAGCCATAGAAAAAAGGGCACTGGATTCTCATTGCCAGCAAAGTCACTTCTGACTTAAACCAACAGGTGATTTGGTTCAAGTTTCAGGGTAAGAAATTTAGGCAAAGACACCCAGCAACACCAGCATCCTCTCACTAATCATACCACAAGTACTATCTTAGGGAGCTACTTTGAGTTGGAGGAAGAATGTGCTTCTGTGGCAATCTGTGGCTAACCCTGGATAAGGGGAGAGAAAAATTTTAGCCAGTAGTGAGGGTAAGTTTCGATTTATCAAAAAGACATTAAATCCATCAGCATGCACACCTACCAGATCCAGGAGAAATCCATGGTAAAAGATCCTTGGCTCAGAAAGCAGAGGAAGAGTGCTGAAGATGTCTTGTATGACAATTCAAGGCAGAAAAAGCTGCTCGAGGCTTTGAAGCGTCAGATGCTGCGGAACGAGGAACTGGAGGTGACAATATTCTAGCTTGGAAGTTTCCTACAAGAAAAGTTGTTGGATATTTATCAGCTTTTTAAGAATAAAAGTCGTGAGTGTAAAACTTCTGCTGTGGGCTGACTCCTGCTCCTAACCAAAGCAGGAGATGTTCTCCCTCTGGCTCTCCAGTGGCTTCTGCCTCTTTTCTTGGAAGCAGCCACCCATTTCTGGCCCGGTGTAACATTTTCCTTTGGTGATGTGACGTCGCAGTGGTGAGTATCATAACCCAGTCAAGTCCCCCAGAAAGAGCCAGGCAGGAAAAGGCAATGCACAAGAATTACTGCAGAGAAAAGTATTATTTAACTTAATTTCTATTGCTCACTGCACCTGCATGAATAATGATTCAGAATACATGGGAGTTTGTCATTCCACCTTCCTATTTCTAGCTGTGAACTGACTGTGACAACACACCACTAAAAAAACCTGTTACATCTCTTCCACTATAAGAAAACCTAAGTAATATAATCCCAAAAACTCAGAATAAAAAAAGGCAGACTTACACAGTCCAAGAACTCTCTGTAATAAACATAAATCCCTATATTTACTGTTGTTTATTTCTCTTACTGGATTTTCAAAAACAAGATTCATAACTCCAAGAGGGACAAAGCAAACTCTGCATCAGGGCAGTGACAACTCTGCAGAAAGCAGAGAGATGGAAATTGCTATCAACTGCAGAAACAGCTGTGAAATCACCAGGCAGCAGGGTAAAACTCATGAAGCAGCAGATTTATGTTGCTAATCTTATTTGACACCCTTTCTAGAAGTGCATGATCACACAAGATGATTTCAACATGGAAGCAGGAGTCCTAAGTAGGGATGAGAGTAATTTCATGAGAGTAAGCTTGTATAATGATAAACTTTAAGGGATTTTCTGGTTTTAAGTTATTTAGACCCTGCTAACATTTCACAAACACAAATATTTACAGGCACAAACTGCTGCTGTTCTCCAGAAGATCCTTGAAATAAGCCTGTGATATTGCTAAGTATATTCAGCTGATTATTGAAGTTAGCTAATAATAAGGAAGTCTACTTGTTTATCTCATTGATCATATTCTTTTCCACAGGACATAGCAATTAGTTTAACTTTCTGAAAAGTTTGGAGGGAAATGCAGGAAAAAAATCCTGACTTCAGATAAATAATCTAAATTTCATTACAACAAATGCAGACCTCTGAAATGTTCTTGCAGTCAACTTCTACTTGGATTACAGCAAGGTGACATTTGTTTGAAAGCTCTTCCCAGTCCAATTGTCCCCCCTAAACCACTCTGCCAGCATCTTGCTTGGAAAAGATTAATTGCTCTGTCAGTTATTTATTTATATTTATCTCTGACTGCACACAGTTTAGATATTTTTATTTTCAATTAATGTCTTTATCAAAAATTCTGACAGAGCAACTTCTTAGAGATGAAATATCTTCCCTTCTCCTTCCCTCTCTCACCACAAAACTGAGAAGCAGAAACACATGAAATCTCTAAATGAAGCTTTCAGCATTTTAACTTGGAATCATTTCAATGCGGTGCTCTCTCAGGAGGCTTCCCACATATGGAGTATCTCTGTGCAAGGGCAAAAAATCCACTACAACCCTTTCCTCTTTTTCATATTTTACTTATAACCAGTGGGACACATTTGAGCTTTCCGCCTTCAAGCTCTGGACCAGATTCTCTCTGTCTTACACAATACTTCAGACACTTTTTTGCTTGTGTAAAATCCCAATAAATCATAATGCTCACACTTCATACTATGGCTATGCATTAAAGTGACTATCGAAAATAGTCTAAGGAGACCTTCTGTCCCGAGAGGAGAGTCTGAGTTCATTCAGAATTCAACAAACTATAATAATCCTCAACACAGTCCTGTAGCTCTGCCCCAGGTGAGCACTCCTGGAAAATACACAACCAGAATTTGTACTTACAAGACTCCAGGACCATGCCCTGAGCTGCAGAGGCAGGGGAAGAACACATTGCCTCCATACCAGCCGCCTCAGGATGCAGCACGTTTCTCTCACCAAGCTTTTAAGCAAAATCATGAACAGATTTAAACTCTCGCACCCTTTTCGTTTTCCCCACATAGCCGGGGTGTAGGATGGGAGTCAACCCAACCCCTCCACAAACCAACTTTGTAATGCGCCAACTGCAAAACTTTCAAACGCTCCCGCTGCACTCCGCACACGCACCTGGGCTAAAATCCTCCGTGCCACGCCTGTCCCTGAGCGCCCTGCGAGAGAGCAGAGGGGCGAGCGGGCGGGGAGAGCCCCGCGGCACCGGGCAGGCAGCTCCGCGGGACCGCGGCTGCCGAGCCCCGGGGCTGTGCCAGCGGGCACAGCGAGCCCCGGGCCCGGAGCAGCGGAGCCCGAGCAGCCCCGGGGGCACCGGGAGCCGGGCACCGGGAGCCGGGCACGGGAGCCGGGCACCGGGAGCCGGGCACGGGAGCCGGGCACCGGGAGCCGGAGCCCCGCGGGCACCGGGAGCCGGGCACCGGGAGCCGGGCACCGGAGCCGGGCACCGGGAGCCGGAGCCCCGGGGGCACCGGGAGCCGGGCACGGGAGCCGGGCACCGGGAGCCGGGCACGGGAGCCGGGCACGGGAGCCGGGCACGGGAGCCGGGCACCGGGAGCCGGAGCCCCGCGGGCACCGGGAGCCGGCGGGGGCGCGGCCGCGGGGCGTGCGGCTCCGGGGCTGCCAGCGAGCCGAGCCGAGCCGTGCCACGCTGAGCCGTGCCAGTCCCTGCCACCGGCCGGGCCAGCGTGCCGTAGCGAGCCGTGCCGAGCGAAGCCGAGCCGTGCCTTACCTCCCGGCCGCCGGGCGGGACTGCGGCGGCCACCAGCCCGCCGCCAGCATAAGAGGGGATGCAGCTCGCCGCACAAGGGACTGTAAACAAAGTTCTCGGTGAGAGCGAAACAATTTAGGGACCGGAGCAAATTCAGCGGCGGGAGCTGCGGCGGGCGGGGCGGCAGCGGGACGGTCCCGTGGGCGGGGGGGCCGGAGGGTGTCCGGCGGCGCCGGGCCGGGCCGGGCCGGGCTGGGCTGGCCAGGGGCCGGGCCGGGCTGGCCAGGGGCTGGGCTTGTCCCTCCGCCCCGCACGGGGATGCGCACGGCGGGGCCAGCCCCGGCGGAGGCTCCGCATCGCGCCCTGCCCGCGGCACTTCGCACACACGGGGCCGGGGGGACTCTCCCTTGCAGCCCCTTCTCCCCTCCGCAGCCCCCCTGCCCTCCCTCAGCCCCTTCTCCCCTCCGCAGCCCCCCTGCCCTCCCGCACGCCCAGCCCCGCGCGGCTGTTCGGGCACATCCCGGCTGCAGCAGTGCGGGTGAGGGTCAGTTCCTGTCCCGAGCTCGCTGGGTGGCCGTGCTGGGTCACCTGGAAGCACAGTCCCTCCCGAAATCCAATGAACACCTAGCTCAGCTGCTCAGAAATTAGAGGAGGAACATAGCTTCGGATGCATTCTTAGAGGATAAAGTTTTATGCATCATTTAGAAATATTTTAACTGGCTTTTCTAAGCTTTAATTGCTCGTTTCTGCAGCACATCGAATACTACAGGGGTTTGGAGAAGATGAGTGTGGGTGTGTGTTAATTTTTTACCATGATTTCTGTTACTTCAGACAAATTATGCTTTTAAGTCTTGTAAAAGGACTTGTTTGAATTTTGTGGTTAAGCTGAACCAAGTTTATATTTAAAATACACTATTTTATCAATGATTGATAAAAGAACAGTACACCAGATGTATTTAATTAGCCACTCTGTCTCTAAAAGCATGCATGTGCTTTTGACCCCCACAGTGAAATCCTGGCCTCACAGAAATTAATGGCAAAACTTCCATCAGCTTCACAGGGGCCAGGATTTCATCCTGTGTATTGTTAAGTATTGCTCAGTGATGGAGACCCTGCCAAGGGTTCATCTCCTCCAGATAAATCAACCAGTTTTTGGAAAAGCTCCACTACTTTATGCAAGAAACTGTGATTTCCCCCCCCCCCCCCCCCCCCCCCAATTGCTGGTGCTCCCATCAAATGCATCAGCATTTGAGCAGAAATTACAAACAAACTGGATCTGAGGGGAATCTTCATTAGCAATCTCCTGGACCATTGTCTGGTCCTTCCCAATAGAGGCAGCTGTGTCTGTAATATCTTTATTAGACTTGACAAGTTCCACCTCAAAAACAACCAGGTTTCCTACTCCTCCTGTTGGAGAATACAAGCCTCATTCTGTTGATACCTAGGAACCTTGTTTTTTAGCTGAATGGGTTCATAGACAATTATACATGGACAAGCAAACATTTGGCTGAAGCAGCTACTCTCTCTTTTGGCAATTAACTCTCTAATGCCCTAAGAGGGAGAAATTAAACTCTCTCAGGCTTATTTTCAATCATTCCTTCAGATGTCTTACCAACTTCTTCCAAGTATTTTCCTGGCCTTCTAGAAATACTAACATTTCATAAATTTCTTCTGATTCTTCAGGATGTCTGGTTTTTTTCTCCAGTATCAGTTTCATTTTTCACTTTATATCACAAATTCTTGCTGTTTGCACTTGTGTGCATGACCTAAATTTCACCCCATTCCTGTTACATCAGTTCCTCTCTAGTCCTTCCAGTCTAGTATTTGATCCTCCTATGTTGACAGAGAACCTCCCTCTCAGGCTTACACCATCCACAGCTCCACTAGTACATTCTTATATTTCCATGCCAACTTCATTACTGAAAGTATTACATAAAATCACAAAACTGATTTTTTAGGAGCTATTCTAATGCACATAAACAGGCACCAAAGCTGAGCTTAGAATTCATGTCTCTGTACAAAGAAATGCCCTAAAAACAGGCAAAAAAGTCACACACTCTGCTAGACCTCATGCAAATCTTAGTTCTTGCTGTGAAGCATAAAAGCTGCAATAAAAAGTGATGGGAATGAGGTCTCCTCTAGTGCTGAGAAATCAGTGTGCTGTCCCCTAGAAGGATGGATTTGGCACTGAAGGGTTTAAAACAGCTTGGGCACCAGCCCTCTGGCCTTTTTAAAAAAGGGATGACTGACTACCTCTACCTCTCAAAGTCCTGCTGTGTTCTGAGCACAGCTCAGCAGGGATGGGAGGAAAGAAGGACCAGACACACCCAGAGCAGCAGGCTCAGCACCTGAGAAATTCAGTGCAAGCAGCTGAGGAAACATCAGGGCTGAGCAGCAGCTGCAGTGAGGGGTTCCAGGCTCAGTGTTGGACTGCCAGGCTCCAGTGATGCACAGCTCCCCTTCAGGACCTGCCCTAAATGACAAAATCTCCTCCCGGGGGCCTAAACACAGCTGCTTAGAGGGCAGTGCAGCCCCAAAGCTGGGCTGATGAGCAAGAACCGTGTGTGATTCTGGAACTCACAGCACCTACTGAGAGAGCAGCTCTGCTCCTAAATTGAGCAATGCTGTTGCTCTGCCGACTGAAACACACTTGCAATACTTCATGGCTTCCTTTGAGTTTCTAACAGTCTCCTGGGCCTCAACAGCACAGCAAACAGTGACTCACTGATCTGGCAAAGTACAACCATTGTGGGCTCCCTACTCACTTCGTTTTTCTTACCTTTTCCCTAACCCTCTACTGAACTTTCCTTTTATTTTATCCCTAAGCCCACACATGGATACATCAGTTTACCACATTTAATGAAACTTCCAGAAAGTGCCCTTTCAACATATTCAATATATTATAAATTGTACTTACCATGCCATGCAGTGTATGTGTTTTGTGATGAGGAATGGAATCCAAAAGGAGTCCAAAGCCAGTTAAGCCAGAGAAGCAAATAATTTTACATAAAGTGCTGTAGCTCCCCTCTCATGAACACAGTTTACAGCCCAGCTGGTTGATAGCTGTGTAAACCAGCCACGCTGTGGGTACTCAGGCTCATGAAATGGATGTGCTTATAACGACTGAGAAATCTCTTTGGTGGCTGGGAATATGGAAAGGAATTTTCTTTGAACTCC